GTTCCCCACCTCATTTCCCCCTCATACACACACACACACACCCTGTTCCCCCCCCCATCCTTCTCACCCGTCACGTCTACTCGTCCTGTGCAGAGGAAGGCCGTCGTGGTCGTGGGCGCCGGTGCGTCTCACACCTCCAGCTTCTTCCAAACTCCTCTCCCTTAAGTTCTCCATCTTGCAAGTCTATTCAAAATGATGTCAAAAAGTATGTTATACCAGAAGGGCCAAAAATAAACACCTTCAAGCAGTAATGGATTCCTGTTTCCTCCCTGGACTCAGACAGAGCCCTGTGTCCTTCCCTCGGTGACTAGTCTGGTTCTGATAGTCACACTACATCCCCCCTTCGGTTTACAGGTGGTGGTGCTGGAGGCCAGGGACAGAATCGGCGGCTGGGTGTGGGACGACGCGTCCCTGGGGCTCACCGTGGGTCGGGGAGCCCAGATTGTCAACGGATGCGTCAACAACCCGATCGCCCTGATGTGTGAGCAGGTGAGAGCTCCCGAGTTCTGGATCGTATCTGGACTCCCTTCTTCTCACTGCAGATCCTCGCTGGTGGAACAAACTCACAAGAGTCATCAGAGCATCTAGATAGATAGATAGATAGATAGATAGATAGATAGATAGATAGATAGATAGATAGATAGATAGATAGATGGTCCTTCCGGAGTATATCTGGTCCTAAAGCTCTAAATGCTCTTTTGTCCTGATAGCATGTAGCATCAATGGATGCTACCTGTGTAATCCATGTTCTAGTTGAATGTTAAACCCTTAATATTAAATCCTCTTCTAGCATATCATTCTTAAGCTACGCTTAAAGTGGAACTGGAGTCGGAGCTGAATGTTAAACCTTTATTTCCTGAGTCACTTTGGATAAAAGCGTCTGCTGGATGCAGAAAGGTGAAAGTAATCAAATGTGTATTGATGTGAAGGGACCAGGTTTCTGACTTTGTGTTCAGGTTAGAGCTTTTCCGAAGACAGCGTCCTGTGACGTCCGGTTTGGCTGCAGCTCTGCTTTGGCCCATTGTTTGTGCGTCTCTGCTGCAGATGGGCCTGAAAATGCACAAGCTGGGGGAGCGCTGTGACCTCGTCCAGGAGGGCGGGCAGGTGGCCGACCCAGCCATCGACAAACGCATGGACTTCCACTTCAACGCCATCCTGGATGTGGTGTCCGAATGGAGGAAGGACAAGTCTCAAAGCCAGGACAGGCCGCTGGGAGGTGTGGCCACACATGGCTTTTCCTGTCTCATTCCACTCCCACCCCTCTGTCTGGTGGGTTAAACCATCCCTCGTTCGCTCCTCCTGGAACCTGCCGGCGTTGGGTCGACGTAAAGGAAACATTAGATCAATAAAAACAAGGCCGTTAATCAGCCATCTGTGATCCTTTTGGGTTTTATTAGCTGTATAATAACCAAACCTCATTGATCTTATTAAACCTGGTTATTGAGTGGGCAGCTTAAAGGGTGATTTCTTCCCTTTTGAAGAAACTTTTTTCTTTTTCTTTTCGGATGATTTCAGCCCTTTGAAGTCTCTTTATTTTAAATCATCTAAGGTTTGTTTCCCCTGACTTGTGTTAATTGAAAAATCCCCTAAAGTCCTGCAAAGCCATTAGCTAATTTTACTGAATGATTCCTTTTTTATCAGCATATTTCCCCCTGAAGGAGCAATTGAAAAGAGTAACTTTTGTCAGTCCTAAACTGTCTTAGTTTGCCTCAAAGTTCTTTAAATGGGACCTATCCTTGTTCTCGATGAAAATTTAAGGACACTTTCTCTTCTGTGGCCTCGTTTGGGGGTTCGGCTCCATGAACTAATTAAAGTTGTGGTTTTTGTGTTTTGTCCCCACAGAAAAGGTTCAGGAAGTAAAGAAGAACTTTCTGCAGGAGTCTGGGATCCAGTTCAGTGCGCTGGAGGAGAAAGTCCTTCAATTTCATCTCAGTAATCTGGAGTACGCCTGTGGCAGCACCCTGGACCAGGTCTGGAAGGCCTCCTCTGCTCAGGGGTCAGACAGATGCTCTTTATTTGATCTGCTCAAACCGGTCAGATGGCGTCCTTCCTCCTCTGGCTGGTTTGTGGGATCATTCAGGGCCCCCCCCCAGGGCTCTTGACTGTGCCCCCTCTCAATTAACAGCTTCCCCTTAACGATCCCTCCCCTAATTATCGGCCCCGCCGATAATTAAGGATCCCTCCCCTTAATAGCTCCCCCCTTAACGGCCCCTCCCCTCACAGACTCCTTGTGTCAGAGTTTAACAGAACCGGCCCACAAAGCCCCCCTCCCCCTAAGTCTCACTGGACTAAAAATGCTGGTTCTGTGTGCAGGTTTCGGCCCGGTCCTGGGACCACAACGAGTTCTTTGCCCAGTTCTCGGGAGACCACACCCTGCTGACCAGGGGCTACTCGGTTCTTCTCAACAAACTGGCCGAGGGCCTGGAGATCCACAGGAACTGTCCGGTTCGTGCCCCCCTTCTGGACCCGGTGGCACCACAGATCAGTCTGCCTCTACTGAAATGGGTTTTTGGTTCCAGGTCCAGACGGTCGATTACTCGGGGGACCTCGTGAAAGTGACCTCATCAAACGGGTCGCAGTGGATGGCCCAGAAGGTAGAGGCTCTGAAACAAGCCCACTGGGTTACAGGACCAAAGGCTCTGGGTTCAGGTTCATCTCTAAAGCAGCAGATGACAAAAGATTTCACCTCTGATCCGGTTCAGTTAAGCCGTCAGGATCCAGGTATTCCAAATGGGTCCAGCTCGTTCATAACCAAGGACACCAGCAGAACCAGGAAGAGATCTCCATCAGGACCAGAACCAGGAACAAACCTCCATCAGAACCAGAAGAAACCTCCATCAGAACTAGGGAAAAAGTTAATCAGAACCAAAACCAGGACAGGATGATATGGGGGACAGAAATACGTTTGATTCAGAGGGCAGGTTCTGTTCAGGGATCCAGTCCTCACCGGGCTGCTTTCTCTTCCAGGTTCTGGTCACCGTCCCGCTGACCCTGCTCCAAAGGGGCCTCCTCCATTTCCACCCCCCCCTTCCTGAGAGGAAGCTGAAGGCCATCCACAGCTTGGGAGCCGGCATCATCGAAAAGGTACCTCCCATCCCCGCCGGCCCGCCTCCAGAGGCTGTCGGTGCCCAGCAGCTAAACCTCAGTCCGAACGTCCCGCAGATCGCTCTGCAGTTCCCGACCCGGTTCTGGGACTCCAAGATCCAGGGAGCCGACTACTTTGGTCACATCCCGCCGGCACCGGAAAAGCGAGGCCTGTTCAGCGTCTTCTACGACCTGGACCCTCAGGTGTGTTTTTAAAGCCATGACCAAGGAGGAGCCGACTGGTTCTGGATCAGAGGGTCGGCTCCTCCCCCTCAGGGTCACTGAGGCATCATGGGAGTCTGAGTATCTGCTCCAGATGTGTGTGTTTAGACTGGGAGGAGAATGAAGGACCCAGTCCTGTGAGGTTCTGGGTATCCGATCCCTGAAACCAAGCTCAGACCCTTTGAGGCCCTGGCTGATGTAACTGTGTCCAACAGGGGAAGCAGGCGGTGTTGATGTCGGTCATCTCTGGCGACGCCGTTCCTGCTGTCTGCGAGCTGGAGGACCAGGAGGTGGTGGGAGAGTGCCTGAAGGTCCTGAGGGAGCTTTTCCCCGAGCAGGTGAGCACCGGTCAGGGGTCCGGTCGGCCACAGCATAGAGGGTCAAGGGTCAGCTGAGACCACCAGGGGAGCAACTAGCTACATGCTGAGGGGTATGCAGACTCATTATTATCCTTGTTGGAGATCTGATTGGACGCTGCATAAACTCAGTTAAGACATCTAAACTCAAGTGTATCATTCCCCAGTTGAACCATCTCCCTGCTTAAGATGCTGCCCCCCAACCCGACCACAGATAAGCGATGGATGATGGAAGGGTAGAAAACTAAAGGGTTATTAACCCTTTCCTGGCCCCACAGCCCCGACCTCTGCTTGTATCTCCATTCATCCCTGTGGAGGGATCACCCTCAGCCCTCCCTGTGATCATCGG